CCAAGGTGGTTCAGGAAGGAAATTCAGTTTGCTGCTACACTTGAGCTCCCTGCATGGAAGGCACCATCTCCTGGGGAAGGTGGGTGATTCTGGGGGAAGAGCAGGCTCTTCAGAAATGGGTAAAGGTGCACTCCAATTTTTTCTGCAGGGATGGTTCCAAAGACATGCTGACTGTGGATCTGTTCTTCCAAGACCCCTGATGGTTTTCACACAGTGCATTAAATGAAAGGTTCCTGGATGCTGAATGGTGGGAGGTGGTGGAGGAAGCGTTCATGGATCGCTGGGACAAGGCACAGCATCACTAGTTCCTGAGCACCCTCTTCCCTTTGCCCAAACCTGTTCAGCACCATCATATGTGGTGGAATGGATGGTGATAAAGTGCAGGAGAGCTCAGCTTGAGGGCAGATGCAGGGAACCTCATGCTGCAGCTCACCAAACACAGGTTGAAGCACATTATCAAGACTTCCCTCTGGAGATGCTGAAGAACATGTCTTTCCTGACCAGCATTGTACACTGCAAATTAGAATACAAACAATGCACCTACATATAATCGCAACAATACCGACATTGTTTCAGAGTTGTTGGGTGGAACCCCTTTGGCTGCTCAGACAACTTACACAGTCTGGCTGGAGGGAGAATCCAACTGAACACTCACCTGCTGGTTGAGCTGGCCTGTCCTTTCCTTTGGGAACAAAGTTGACCAGAACCTTCATGGCAGAGAGTGAGAGTAGATGCAAACCTTAAAACTTCTCTGCCTGAGGACACCTGTACTTGCCCAGTAGCATGTTGGTAAGGAGAGAGGAGGACATTTGCGTTACAAACAGGCAGGACCCCAACAAGGCCGAGCATCGATGTGTGCCCAAGGTCATCAGCTTTCTTGACTTATGGAGAAAACTTGGGGACCACCCTGGCTTCCTTTGCCCTCTTCTTGTCTTTCAAAAAAGGTTTTGTGTTGGCAATCTTCACTCACTTCCTAAACACTTCAATTGTGAAAGCCAACAACCAGGACCTCTCCTTCATCCTGCTCATCATCCTCCTGCTCTCCTTCTCATCCTCCTTCCTGTTCTTTGGCTGGCCAAGGAAAGAGACCTTTCTCCTCCAACACATAGCCTTCAGCACCATCCTCTCAATGGCTATGTCTTCCCTCTTGGCCAAAACAGTCACTGTGGTGCTGGCCTTCCTGGCCACCAAGCCAGGAAATGTGGCAAGAAAGTGGCTGGGGAAGAGTTATTATTATTCTAGCCAGGCCTGGACTGAATACCAAGGAGCTCCTCATGCTGAACAGTAAAATAAGGAACTAGAAATGTGATTCTTATGAAACTCTTTTTCCTATCATACTCTATCAAGTTCTGTGTAAAACTTCTAACAAAATGTGAGTACTCCCCAGTCATGTGAGGGGCTCCAATATTGCCCCTACATTTAGTCGATGACATGTATACATTCCCAATCCCAAATGCTCCCAAATCCTAAGCTGGAGATCCACTCATGCAGCCCTTCCATGAACCACTGCAGACCCTCTGCTGTCTGTTCCCACATGCCCCTGTCTTGCTGCAGAACCTCCCTCAACATCTGGCTTTGTCCTGCCCTGAATCCCCTTTTGCTGCTGGTTCTGCCCTGGCCTTGGTAACCTGTGGGTTTCCCCTCCTTCATCCCTGCTTCTGCCCCACCTCTCCCTGCCTCACCCATATCCAGATGTGGCCCGAGGAAGCTTTTCCTTCCTTGGTCTATCATGTCTAGCCTCAGTCCTTATTGAGGACTCCTGAGGATGTATCAAGGCATTATTCCACATTGCTAATGAAGTCAATTCATGGCACAAGTCTATAGCACTGGCCAAGAAGCCTGGAACATGGCACATGGCGGCATCCAGTGCCATGTGAAAGGAATGGCAGAGCTCATCTTGACTGCCTTGTGCCCTTCCTTTTCTGCCTGATGCGCTTTGTTCCATTCCTTCCTGAAGGTGCTTTGAAGGGTGGAGGAGAGCCAGGATAACTTGCGTTCCTGACCTTCAGAAGCAGCCTGGGCCATTCTTTCCATTCCAGCTGCATGTGGGAAACAGAGGTTGGTGGGAGCTTGGATTCCCAGTTCCAAGGCCAGACTGCAGGCTCTGAGCACAGATCTAGGACTCTAACCTTTGGCTACTTGTACACTCTCAATGGCCATAAGATTGATCTTTTCATGCTCAAGAATGCCAAGAGGTGACGAACAATGGCTTTCCTCTTCTTCACCCTCACACATAGGTTATATTCATGTGATGTCTCTGGATTCTCATCTACCCCATATCATTCTGTTCTGCAGCTCAAGCTGAAGGGAAGATCTAGCTTGTTGAACTTCTCCAAGGTCTACCAGGAGCTCAGACTGCCTCCCTTTGTTCATGCTTGTGAACCTTTGTGGCTTTCAGTTTGTTCTCTGAATGGCACATTCTGCATTTGGGAATGAAGTATTGCAGGAACAAACCCAAATGTGCCCTTTCTTTGCAATGAACTAAAGAGCCAGTCATGTCTCCAAATGGATTCCTATGGCACTTTGTCCAGAACTTTACTCAGACACATTGGAAATCACAGAGAGCAACACTGACCTCACAATACAGCATAAAACCCAGAGACTCAGTGTTGTCATGTGGCAAAAGCATAGATATGAGGAAGAATCCTGAGAAATTGGCCCAGTGTGCTGCACTTCAGCAGAATTCTGATGTACATAGAGGAGGGGGAGAGGAAAGGTAGGGGAACCCATGGATGGATCCATGAGTGGCCCCATGGATAGATACACCATCCATCTGATCCAGCACTGAGTTCATACAGCGGCCGCCCTTGTGCCCACCATGGGATTCCACCACAGGGCCTGGGAGCAGAGCACCCACTGGGCAAGGTCTCCAGGAAATAATGTGCACAGGCATATTGCTCCTGATTGGAATGGGCCGTGTGCATGTCTCCTGGAAAGATTCCCAGGAAAACAAGAGAAGCTGACCACTTTGGCGGGACTGACAGCTCAGACTCTGAGAATGAGCTGCATGAAGGGGAGTTGGCCGATCCTGGCAGGACTGAGCACACGGGCTCGGATAACTAGATGGTTGTTGGAATGGACACAGCTGGCAAGCAGGTGCTGCAGCAGATCAGCCCTCCCAAGCCATTCAGAGAGCACATGGCCAAAGCAGTTCCTTGAGCCCAGTTGGCTCAGAGGAGTTGCAGTGATGATTTCCCGGCGTGTGGCTTTCTTGCTCATGGGGATGCAGAGAGCATTTCGGAAGCCACAGGGGCGCTCCAGCCATGTCGCTGTGTGATTAAGCAAATCATTACGCATTACTGGTCCTTTGGCTAAGCCTCATGGGGCCCCCTCCCCCCAGACCATCCTGAACCCCCTGATGCACTCCTGAGATTGCAGAGATGTGTCTGGAATCCAGGCACAAAAGCAAAGGGACAGAGTTGCCTGCTGTCACACTTAGAGCTCAGGGGAGACAGGGGGCAGGGGAGGAGGCCTCTGCGCAGGGCATTTCTTCTCCTTCCATTCAGTGAAGCCTTGGCTGGCTGGGCACCACATCCATTTCGGAAGGAAATTACTCTTCTAATTGTTCCACTAATTGGTTTAAAGGGGTAGTATGGAGGCCAAGCCTAGCATGGGCAGAATGGCACTCGCATTCATGCTGCTGCTGCTCCCAGAGGGCTGCTGTGGGATGCTGCAGGCCAAATGCCCCTGGAGCTGGCACAGGGATGAGCTGCAGCCACAGAATTATTTCCGGCCAGGAGACTATGTCTTCAGTGCCAGCATCTCTGCAGGACAAAGTCAATTTGGTCTACACACGTTCAATAAACCTGCCTCGAATGAAAAGCTTGAGTAAGTCATTGGCCTGCTTGACCTGATACCACAAAGCATCATGGGCAACCGAGCAGTGCACCCTGCAGTCCATGCAAAGCCAGAGTGATTACTTCCAGCTGGCTCCGTCCTCAGAGAGACCCAGATGGTGAACTCACAGGCCACACAGCCCAGCGGGGAGGTGAGGGCTTTGCAGAGGCCCCGAGTTCTAAAAGGTGCACCACATTCCTTGCCTCTGCACTCCTCTGCCATCCTTTTTTCCTTCAGTATGATGCACATGCTGGGCTCCTGCCTGGAATGGACACCTTTGCTGCAGCTGTCTTGTCATGGGGAATGGATCTGGACTTGGACAGGAAATAGGCCTTTCCCACCCACTGGAATCCCACCAGGAATTCTGCAGGAATTGGCCGCTGGGCTCTAGGATTGGGTTGGGACCAGGCTGAGTAAATGGAAGCCTGATTAGCTGGATGCAGCTTCAAAAGGCAGTGGATGGATTCACAAGCTGGGTTGGCAGGTTTCCCACTTGTTTTCTTTTTTTCAGTTTGGGATCCACTTATTACTGGAAGGTCCTTTCCTTCCTCTTTGCCATTCAGGAGGTCAACCAGAATCCCAGCCTCTTGCCCAACATCTCCCTGGGCTACAGCATCTATGACAGCCTACATGATGCTAGACTGACGTCCGACGCAGCCATAGACCTGCTCTCGACTTCTCAGGCGCATGTTCCCAACTACAAGTGCAGCAGGCGAGATCATCTGCTGGCTGTCCTTGAAGAATCTGACTCCGACAACTCCATGCAGCTTTCCAACATGCTGGGCATCTTCAAAATCCCACAGGTGAGGGACTTGGGAGAAGTGATATGAAGCTATAAACCGTCTCCTCACCTGGACCCTACCTCGACCCTGGTTCTAAGGCAAAGAGCAATGTCCCCTTTGGGGAGGTGGGGAGCTGCAAGACTTGGAGCCTAAGGTCTGCCCTTTCTGCTTCTGTCTGGCCATCTGCACACTGCAGCAAAGCCAGTTGCTTCCAGCTTTCTTCCAGTAACTGCTTTTGTGTGTCACCTTGTCCTGTCCTTCCCTCCTCTGCTCTCTTGTTTACTCCTGCCCCCTCTGTCCACTGCTTGCTTCTGCCTGGCCTGGCACTACCTTCATTCTCCCTTCCTCTGTGCTGCTCTCCCTTATCCGGTCACCAATACCATGCAGCTGAGCGTGCACCTGCACATTCCCACAAATGGTGTCGCATTCCTTGTTCCTCCCAAGCAGATTCCCGACCAGGTTCCATCTCTTCTGGCAAGTCTCCAGTTTCTGCCATGGGATGATGAGGGAGCCCCGCCGCCTCCTGCCAGGATGAAATCCCTCGCAGAGTACCAGGCAATCCTACTCAGTCCTGAGATGAAAAGGGCTCAAGCTCCCTCTGCCCCACACTGGGCACCCTCCTGGTATTGGTAGTTATGAGGAATAAAAAAGGTCCCTCATTTTTTTGACTGACTGAGGGCAACAACAGCAAGTAATTGTTTAAAAGAGCCTCTTTAATGTAGTTGCATACCCCCAATTGAGAGAGAGCCCATCTGCAGTCAAGACCAGCTGCCACAGCCATCATGCAAATCACTTTTGTACCTTCAGGATTCTGCAATGATTACATGTAGAGAAACATCATGGAAGTAACTTTTGTACTTGGTTATCTTAAGCTACATTTCTTGTGTCAAAACTGGCTCCAGGCTGATCTTTTACACGTTCAGACCATCTTGGCATATGTTTCTATTCTCCATTCTCTTATGTCTCTCTGATAGAACCCTAAAGAAATTACCCTTTTTGTTTGGTCATCAGGAACAACTAATAATTTTTGGTTAAGTGGTTTATTCTCCTGAGTTGAGGAACTTTGATCTGGTGCTGCAGTGAAGCTATCCATCAGTCATTTCCTTTCTTTCCCAGGTCACTTATGCTTTCACTTCTCAGATCCAGAGAGAAAATAGTCAGTCCCCTTCCTTCTACAGGATGGTCCCTGAAGAAGGCATCCAGTACCCAGGGATTGTCAGGCTGCTACTGCATTTCAGGTGGAGGATGGTGGGTCTCTTTTCACTGGACACTGAGAATGGAGATAAGTTCATGAGAACCTTGAAACTGCAGCTCCTCGGGAATGGCATTTGCGTGATTTTTTCACACAGCATCTCACAGCTGAAATCGGGAGTTATACCACGCAAGGAGATGTCACTGAAGGTGATGGCAGAAATCAATGTCTTCATTTACTTTGAAGAGTTCCTTTTCTTGTTCTATGCAATACAGATTACAAAAATTGCTATTGAAATGTACATGAAACCTATTCATGGGAAAGTCTGGATATCCACAAGTTTGCATGATTTTACTTTGTCTTTAGCTTATATATATTATGATTTCCAGTTTGTCCATGCATATTTTTCCTTCCTTCCCCAAACAAGTAAAAGGACCAGCTATGATGGTTTTAAAGATTTGTATTTCTTTATTAACAAATTTATGAAGCGAGCATTCAAGTGTTCCCACTCCAAGCATGTGCTGTCAGTGAAAGAGTGGAAAAGATGCAGAGAAGAGGAGACACCAGAGGACCTGACCCAAGTTAACAAGGAGAGAGTCCTGTTTCTTGACAGTTTCTTCTCTTACAGCACAGGCCAGGCTGTGGCCCGTGCGGTAGATGCGGCTGTGTCCTCCATAGTCAGGAGGAAGGACATGGAACGTGGAGGAAGGCTAGATGTGCTCCGGCTTCACCCATGGCAGGTAATCCTTCCCCTTCATGGGCATGAATTCAGAATTTGAGCTAGCGGTCCTCAGACACCATGCAACTATTGCAGTGATGCCAAGAAACCCATATTGATTAATCAGGAAGAAATCCATTTCTCTAATCAGATTTCTGTTTCTGATTGATTTACCTTCCTGAAGGACTGCAGGAATGCTGTGGATATCATTTCTCTAGACAATGCAAAGCTTAGGACAAAGAGCCCCTTGATATTGTGATTAGTAAACTAGATCCAAGCAGTTTCAATAAAACAACACTTAGCTGCATGCACAGTTGGCTACAGAATTGGACTGAAAGTGTGTCTTCAGGATATGGAATAGAATATCTTTTAATAAAAATATATAAATGAAATAAAGTGTGCTCATCAATGGCCCCTTCTCAGACGGAGAGGTAACAAATGGGGTACTGCAGGGTTCAGTCCATGGCCCAGTGCTCTTCAACATTTCTATTCTTGGTTTGAGTGAGGAAGGGCAGGGAATGCTAATCAGCACTGCAGATCTCACTGAAGTAAGTGGGCTAGCTAATACCTTGGAAGACCGAAGGAAATTTCTCAGGAACGCAGTGGGAGAAGCAAGAAAACATTCAGAGGAGATCAGCAAGGATGATGCGCTAACAGTAAACTTTGGAGTATGAGGAGAGATTCAATGAACTGGGTATTTTTAGCCAGAGATGAAAAGACTGAGGAGAGGTATGGGAGCATTCCTCAAGGACTTGATGGGTTTCTGCAAAGAGCAAGGCCACAGTGTCTGCTTGATCATCCCAGAGAGCAGGACATAGAACAAAGGGCTTAAGTGACTGGAAACCCTATTTGGCCCTTTCCAAATACCCTGTTGTAGGATTCCTGTGATACTGCTTAGAAAGAAATCCTATTAAGAATACTAAAATGAACTCCCAGGGGAGCTTCTGAATTACAGCACGTTCTGGAGCAGAACTGACCATTTGCTGCTTCTGAGGATTGCTGAAATATTGTTCTAAGTGAAGATGCCCCCCCTTCCCTTCAGTGATGAGGCCTGTACTGTTTGGTTCCTAAATTCGTAATTGGAACATGGGCATCCAGCATGAATCCTGGAATCAGAATCCTGTCCATAAAGCAGTCATACCCAGCCACATTACACTGGGAACTTCTTGTAGCAAGAACCAGAGTATGAAATGTTTCTTGTCAAATGCTTGTTCTTTCTCTGTTGTTCCAGCTCCACCCTTTCCTGAGAGACCCCCAGTTTCACAATCATTCCATTGATGGGGTTTATTTGGATGAGAATGGAGACCTGGCAGTCAATTTGGACCTTTTCAATTGGGTGAGGTTTCCCAACAGTACTGTTCTAACAGCGAAAGTGGGGAGTCTAGAAAGATGCGGCTTGCCTGGCCCCAAGTTGACCTTTCACCAAGACCCCATTGCATGGCCCAGATGGCAAGATCAGGTGAAGAAAACCATCCCCATTATTCCACTGATTTCATTTCCCATCCATTCAGTAATATTCTGGCTAAAGGGAGGTACATAACTTTAATGGATGGATGGATGTACTGAGAGAGAGAGAGAGAGGGAGGGAGGGAGGGAGGGAGAATGTGATGTAACAGGTGTAGTGAATAAACGTGATGCATTTCACTTTGAGGGAATGTCCCGCTGCTTCAACTTCACAGGTTGGGGTTCAGTTATGGAGTCCACTGAAATGCTGGAGGTCCTCTCCTCTCCATCCTTTCCACCTCTGTCTCCCCAGTTGACAGCTTCCTCAGCCCAACTCTCCTCTCTTGATCCTCCTTCTCTGTCACTCAGCCCCTGCCTCAGGCCAGTTGTGTGGAAAGCTGTCGCCCAGGATTTTTCAAGGTGGCTCGGGAAGGACAACCTATTTGCTGCTATGATTGTACTCCATGTGCAGAAGGGACCATCTCCACTTTGGAAGGTGGGTTAGCCCAGAGGAAAAGGCAGTGCTTGATAGGAGGACAAGGATCCGATCACAGTACGTGGCACATTTGGAGGGTGCTAAACCATCCTTCAAAGAATTTAGGATGGCCTGGTTGTTTCTGGAGTATCAGGGCAGAAAATCTTTGTGGAGCTGATTTTATCAACCCCTCCCTCCAGACCCCGAAGGACCTCTCATGGAACAAATACTGTCTTGTTGCTGCTAAGCCTTTCCTGCCAGCCACAGCCCCTGCATTTCTCCTTGTCTTCTCCATTTCTCTAGAACACTTTCTGTCCCCTCTCATAGGTGGGATTTTGTCAGTTCTCTTTTTTACCCTGCACAGTACCCCTCAAATCACCTTGGCACATGAAGCCAATCCTATGGTGGGAAGTAGGCAGAGCTGAGAGTCTAGGGGTGGCCCATAGTCACCTAGTGGACTGCACAGCTGAGTCAGAACTAGGCTCTGTATCACTTTTCCACTGCACCATCTTGGCTCCCAGTCAGGCAAGCACTGCCAGGGCAGGAATTCCACTCCCATCACTATGAGTACTGAACGTCCTCTACCAGCTCAGGACATCCACCAACATACCTCCCACTGGAGGAGAAGCACTTGCTCTAGCAAATCAAAACTTTCCACCCAGTCTCCTTCCTCTTCTCTCCCACCGTTATGACCTCTGTGAATCAGAGCTAGATCAGAACCTCACAGAACACTTTTCAAACACAAGATGACCCATTCAGAAATTTTTCCTGACCAGAAGAAGCCAGATCTTGAACATGTCCTTCAATGTTAGCCCATCTTGTTCTGAGATGGTTCTATGCATGCCTGTGGGGAAGGTTGAGGAAGCAGGAGTGGCAGAAAAGGAAGATGTGTGCAGGGGCTGGTAGTGTCCATGTTTCAGAGCCCTCTTTTGGGTTCTCCTTCATCCTCATGTCACCTGCATATGTCAAGGGGTTGGCTGATCAAATGACCGGTCCCAATACCTCAGTCCGTCCAAACTGGTGCTCTGCTCAATGCATGGAGGGGTGGTATTTGCCATTGACCAGAGGGGAATACAGGGGCTGCAGTTGCTGGGGAAATCCTTTCTTGGAGAGCTTGTGGCAGTGGATCGGTTCACTGGTGCATAGGAGGCAGAGATGGAGTTTCCAGGGTGCACAGCTGGAGGCTTGGAAACAGTGTCAGGGTGGACCTTGGTGTGGCTTGGGTACACTGGTGGTTGGTGCTCAACCAGCATAAGACTCAGTTCATCTTGAGGGTCTGGGAGTAAGGATGGATGAGTCATGGTGGGAGAGCAGCACCCCTTCCAGCTTCTTACTTGACTCTCAAAGGGTGGCTGAAAAGTTGGTGTTAGAGCTGGAATTAGGGCTGGAACAAGGGGAATCCCAGTAAAGATGCAACCTTGCATCATCTCTCTCCACTTAAGAAGGATGACAGGGAGTTTGTCCTGAGAAGGCTGGTGCCTGTCTTGACCTGGGCATGTGTGTTGTAAGCTGTCATGAACTACTAAAATTTCTGCAGCCCATTCAGCTGCAGGGGACTGAGTCCCTGACAGGGTCAGGCATTTTCTGGTGCATGAATTTATTCATGATTGCAAGGAATACTACCCCAAAACACTCTGCAGAGTGCCTTCCGGATAGTTGGCCTCCCTGAAAATTTATCTAAGGATATTGGTTGAATTTGATGAATGGAGGGGCCCATTAAGTCCATACCTGGCAGAACACAACTTTGTGTTACCTCTGACACCAGAATTTTGCATTTACTTGTACTCCTACAATTAAAACTAGTATTAGCAATAAAAAACACAATGATGAATAAAAAGTTCAGAACAGAGACTGGAAAGGTTGCCAGGGTGCTGTTTCTATTCCTTTGAACAGATGCTGAGCATTGCCTGAAGTGTCCAGAAGATCAGCATCCAAACACGGACCGGGATCAGTGCATCCCAAAGGTCATCACCTTCCTTTCCTATGAAGACCATTTGGGAAATTTCCTCACTTGCATGGCCCTACTCTTCTCCATCGCCACAGGAAGCATTTTGGGAATCTTTAGGAAATTCCAGGAAACACCAGTAGTCAGGGCCAACAACCGAGACCTCTCCTACATTCTGCTTGTCTCCCTCTTGCTTTGCTTTTCATGCTCCTTCCTGTTCATCGGCCAGCCAAGAAGCGTCACCTGCTTGCTCCGACAAACAGCCTTCAGTATCAACTTCTCAGTGGCCATCTCTTCCCTCCTGGCCAAAACTGTCACTGTGGTTCTGGCCTTCCTGGCCACCAAGCCAGGCAACAGGGCGAGGAACTGGTTGGGGAGGACTTTGGCCAACTCCATTGTCATCTCCTGTTCCAGTGTCCAAGTAGTCCTCTCCACCATCTGGCTGGGCACCTGTCCCCCTTTTCCTGACTCTGACATGCACTCCCAACCTGGGCAGATTGTTCTGCAGTGCAACGAAGGCTCTGTGGCCATGTTCTATGCTGCCCTCGGCTACATGGGCTTCCTGGCTGCCGTCTGCTTCACGGTGGCCTTCCTGGCCAGGAAGCTGCCTGGGGCCTTCAATGAGGCCAAGCTGATCACCTTCAGCATGTTGGTCTTCTGCAGTGTCTGGGTGTCCTTTGTGCCCGCCTACCTGAGCAGCAGGGGCAAGTACATGGTGGCTGTGCAGGTCTTCTCCATTGTGGCCTCCAGTGCAGGACTTCTGGGCTGCATCTTCCTCCCCAAGTGCTACATTATTCTAGCAAGGCCTGACCTGAATACCAAGGAGCACCTCATGATGAAAAGCAAATCATAAATTGTGTTTTTATTGCTCATCAACCAGCTCAAGGATCTGACATTTGTGAACATTGCAGAGATCAATTTTCAGTTTTTGGGCATTATAAAAATGAAACAAACAAACAAAAACCTTTTCTGGTTTTCAGTCATTGGGAAAAATAAAATTCCATTTCAAACATGGGGAAGCAGCAATGAATTTATACAGGTTAATCTCATTAGTGCAGTCTGTGTTTGGTCCTTTTTTTGTTTGCTTGTTTCTAGTACTAGTTTCTTTTTGCAGTCTTTTAGAGTCTCATGCTATGTTTTGAATTGTCGGGAGCAAATATCTTATTCACCAGAACTTAGGATAACAAAAATGCAGCTTCTCCATTTTTTAAAAAATGTCCATGTTGCCACTCTCTCAGAAGTTCCTCCAGCATGTCTTCCAAGGTGAGGTTCTTGTTGGTGGGAGTGTTCCTTGGTGAAGCTCCATCCAGCGTTGCGGATCCCTTACCTCCCCTTCCTGCTTAGGGTGGGCTCCCCAGGATGTGCTCAGAAGCTTGCTTGGCAGCAAAAGTACATTGGCACAGGCATCCTGCCAGAGCTGGGACCTCCCAGGTTTCCCGCTCTGCACTCGACCCACCAGGGCAGCCTGCTTCTCAGAAGACACTCCTTCATGCCATCTCTGCCACAATTTGACTCTCCAGCTTGGGGGATTTTTGTTTAGTTCATTTTTTTCTCTCTGCAATATCAGGTTGCCACTAAAGCAGAAAAAAGGGAAGGGGTGAGGATCATAATCCCTCCCTTCTTTACTTGGTCAATGTAATGGAAAGCAGTAAGGGATTCTCCATTCTCTTGGACAACTGGGCATAATGCCACCGGATCTTCCATGTTTCCTCAATCCAGGACCATACTCTGGATTCAGCACAAGCACACACAAACCAGTGCATTCAACAGATAAAAACAGGAGTGAGGGTTCTAAGGATACAGACTGAAAACAGGGTAAAAGAGGAGTAGGGGCAGGGAAAGGGAGATTTGACAGTAGCAATGTACAGAATGTGGCCAGCCATGAACCTGCGGATCCCAGAGATTGGTTGGCCCACTTGGACAGGAAGCAAGAAACCCACATCCCAGTCTTCGCTCTCCAGACAGAGGTCCAACCTTCCACAGGCTCCAGATATGCAGATGCGCAGCAACCTTCAGCACGGAGCAAGAGCAGCCAACTGGTACCTCCCCAGAAAGCAGGAAAGAGCCTCCCTCCCTCCTGGCTTTATCTGCCCCTGGCAAGGTCCACTGAGCCATGGGGTGCTTGCCCCTCTCCCAGGCCTTGAGGCCAGGTGTTTTCTCCAGGTGCCAGGCATCAGCAGGCCATGACTGTTTCCACTGGTTTCCTCAAGGCCATATTTTCAGACAGTTCTGTCCCCTGGATCTGTAGGATTTTCTTCGGTACACAACCAACCCTTTGCTTGCTCTCTGGAGCCTGGAAGCTGGTTCAGCTAACAGTCAGTTACTGTTTTGTTTCAAATCCTCTGTATTTTAAATCTCATTTCCCTTTTCTCTACCAGACAGTCCCAATCCTTGGAGACTGCCCAACCGCATCATTATATCACATGTAATATGTTACATTATAGTAATGTAACACATTGGATAATATCACAGTATATTACATTTCTGATATGACCAGAATCAAAAATTGGGCACAATCTCACTTTAGAAATTGTGTGTATGCATGTACATATTTTTACAAGCCACCAGGCAGTTCAGATCATTTCTGTAGGTGGAGAGCTACAGCAAAATCTCCACTAGGCAGCCATGTCCCAGCCGTCAGTGCTTCGGGCCTCTTTCTCTCAACTTGCTGAGGATGTTCTTTCCCTCTGGTGGATGGTGTTGCACCCAATCATGCGGGATGGAGCCTTCAGCAGCACAGATGCCCCAGCCACACAGAATCCACATCTTCCCTCCAGAAACAGACCCACCCAGGCAGCTGTTGCCAACTCACCCCCAGCAGCCATTGTGGAGCTCCAAATGAGAAATAGGAAGATGTCTCATTATTATCCCAAGGCAGGGACACAGGGATGCTGCCTTTGTTGAAGCGATAAAACGGAACAACAGAAAACAAAATCCCATCATTATAAGTCTCAGGATTCAGCAAGTTCATAGAATCATAGAACATAGAATCAAAGATCCATGAAGGCCATCGAGTCCATCCCCTGCTGTTGCAGGACACCAAGTTAAACCATTCCCCTCAGGGCTGTCCAGGTTCTTTTTGAATGCCTCCAGTGTGGGAGAGCCCAACACCTCTCCAGGCAACTGATTCCACTGTTGTATTGCTGTGACAGTGAGGAAGTGAGGCTTTTCCTGATGTTCGCCCTGAATCTGGGTTCTCACAACTTGAATTGATAGCAGCGTTCCATAGAGGGAAGTTGTGAAATCACACCCAATAAAATAAAAACTGGCATCTGAGGTTGAACAGATGAGTTCTGCAGTGCTGCCAAATGATAAATGTAGAAGTGTACAAGAAAAGCAAGTTAAAAGTGTGGAAGCCTAGGACATTTGCACTTCATGCCTCAAACTGCAGCTCAATATGCCATAGAATTTTCCAAATTGTATTTCTTTCATTTCTGTGCCACCTGTCAATGAATCTTTCAGGGTGGTTCACAACAGGATATAAAAGCTAAACAAGCAAGCAAAGCAGCATTTAAAACATTTTAAAATTAATTAAAAGTGCTCTCTGAACAGGTTATAAATACGATAGGATAATAACAACAATGTACATAATAAAACATAATATAGATGAAATCACACAGCAGATGCAACCCCCCTTCCCCACAATCCACACCACCCATATAAATCCACATGGTAACCCTGGTTCACAAACTAGTACAACCGTTAAAAGGAAAAAGAGTATAACATATAATACATCTAATAAAACCTATGAAAGTGATCCCATGCAATAAAATACTGGATGAATAAAAGAGTCATTGCTTAGCATCAAAAAGAATAGAGAGGAAGCACCAGGTGACCCTTTTTGGGGAGATGATACAAGAGTTGGGGTGCCACAACCGAGAAGACCCTTCTCCTTCTTCGTTTCAGAGGTGTTATGAAAAGGGCCTCTGATGGTGAGGTTGGGCCTCATATAGGCACATATGGGAAGAGGCTCTGGCCCCAAGACATTCAGGACTTTAAAGATTAGAACTAACACTTGGAATTGCATTCAGACTTCACTTTCCAACCAGTGAGGATGATTGAGAACTGGCATTACTTGTGTGTGTCAGCCAGTCCTCATCTACAGCTTGGCAGCCCTATCCTGAATGAATGGATGTTTCCAGAGCATCTTCAAATCTGCCTTGAGATCCTGACACAAGCTACACACAATCAAGACCGACCTTTGAGTGAACAGGATGCCAAGAGAGTACAGCTATATTCTGCTAGACCACCAGCAGCAACTTCTCTCCTTCACCTTCAATGTGATACTGGTGCTGAAGGGACACCTTGGGGTCCCAGCAGGGAGAGGACAACCCAACCCGCATCGTCCACCTAGGTCTCTGGAATACAAGTCAGGTCAGCTCCCTCATCCACAATCAGATCATGTATGAAGGAGATTTTATTTTGGACCAATCTGGCATTCAGGAGCAGCACCAGATTTGAGAGCAGCCTGGTAAGGGCACCAGGAATTGTCAGGTTTGGAGGATGACCAAGCAAATCAAACTCTATCTCCTCTTCAAATTCATTGGTCTCTTGCTCCCCCAGCACCATACCTCCCTCTACCCATAACTTCAGTGATGGGGCACCCCTTTGCTCCCCAATGTGCACCCAGGTTCTTATGTGAATATAAGAATAATGCTTGGCCAGGAAGCCTCTTTCTCTGGGGGCATCTGGCTTAGTTCCTCCAAGACTGATCTTGGCCATTCTGGGTTGGGAAAATTGGACCTGGAAGAGAGCTCAGCTTCAACACCCCATTTATAACAAGGAAGCATTAGTGCTTTTCTCTTGGCAAATCAAGTTGGCATCCTGGGGTGAAACACATATGAAAATCCAGAATTTTCACCAGTACCAGCTTCTCAGATGCAATAATAACCCAGTGAGGCTCTATTTTTGTCTTTGGTGTTTTTCGCACATCAGCTATTGGAAACTCTGTCGATGTTTCCTTCAAGTATCTTTGGTGGGAAATCAAAATATATGAACTGAAAGCACCTTGGACTAAACAATCCCATGGACTTATTCATGGAAAATATATCAACTTTGGTTCAGAGGAAGGCCTTCCATTGGTGAGGTTCAGACCAAGCTCAGCTTTCCCTCGCTCACTAGCTCAGGTGGTGCCCCTGGAGGGTTCTTGTAAAGATCTTGTGCCACAGTGGCATCCTTGTGAACAGAAAGCAACAGGATATCTTGTGGTTACAGAGCTGATGCAAATTCATCCCTGCAGCGTTACAAAGGATTCTCCAACACTGTGATTTGTTCTGATCATTCCCTCCAGAGCTCAAACTGTATCTCCAGAGCTCATGTTTCAATTTTTGGAGTAAATGCCCAATTAGACTGAAGGTGAAATCATGGCATGGAAGGACTGGCTCACAAATACGTTGTCGTGCCACTGGGAGCCTGAGTGGGGGCTGAGAGCAGTTGAGGAAGGTTCTGAGTGTGATACCATTGTTCTCACACCCTCAAATCAGGAAGATTTGCTAGTCTGGATTCCATCTGTCTACCTCCATCTCCAAGTGCCCCAAGCCTTGGTCTCATTGTGTCTCTTCTCGTTACTCTCCTAATGTGCTGAAAGGGGCAAGCATAAGGTGGAGTTATCCTAGTCTGCTACTTCTGCACTTATTGCTTCTGCTACCCTGTTCTACCTGTGGGTTGCTTGAGGCCAAATGCCCCTTGACTTGGCACAGGGATGGTGTTTCCCCATTTAATTATTACTGGCCAGGGGATCTCCTCATGGGTGGGGTGATTTCTGCAGCACCTACTGTGTTTCCACCATACACTTTCCACAAGCCTCCCTCTCTCAGAAAAGAAAGGTGA